ATATATATATATATATATATATATATATATATATATATATATATAGCTTTCCCTGTCTAAGATCGATTGACATAAAATTGTGTAAGGAAAAAGCGTTAAAATGTCGTATGTACTTACCTGATTGTAAAGTTTACGATTGTAAAATGACTGGCCTAAGAGGCATCTACACTCTGTACCGGTTCTGTTATAACTATTTCTTTTACGTATCTACTTCGAGTGAGAGTGAGCAGTAGATGAAGTAGCATGAATTCCCGTATGGAAGTTACGTAACTAATTTACAATTCAATGTGTTCGACAAGACTGACAACGCGCAGACTTTTACGAATATTATTTACTTATTCCGATTATTTAGAGACTTATATATTAAACAATACCAAATAAACAAGAAATCATTTTAGGAAAAAAACAATATTATTAATGAATCATTGTTAATGATCGAATATTTTCTTTTAGTATAGATTATATAGTTCGTAATTCTTCGTTAATCGTCTTTATAAATCCTACAATATTTTTTGTCAACGGTCCAAAACTTTTAAAAAGCTGTTAAGATACTTTTTACATGCGAACAAATCTTTTCTGTCATCTGTATAGTAGATGCTCGCGTAAAATTCAACGTTACAACAAACTGTACATATGTTGTTACTATACATGGACAAGAGTCAAGGAACGTTAAAAAAAATAGCACCAACTAAAAACCCAGTTGAAAATTTCGAGAGAAATTTTATATTTTTACAATATTAAAATTTGTGCAAAGATAGTTTTGTCACACGAAAGAAGTTACGTCAACTGGCAATGAAAAATTATCATCTATTCACAATCACACACATACACATACACTATAAAATCCAATTCTCTTGTTACCTAGCTTCAGTAATACGACAACTTGTACCATTAATCTACAAGATACTGTCGTGACCTACATGGCCTCTCCCGAGGTGTTGGTTCCTTCTCATACGAGGTTTCAGCAGAGCTGACGTATGCGAGGTTGCAACTTTGTTATAATACACGTTTGTTTGTCTACGCGTGAATTCGGTTGTAGGATGCTTTTTGTGCAGATTGCATTTAACGTTATTCGGTTATATTGAGTCATTAGGTATGAGTATAACTTGCGCAAGGGGATTACGTTGTAAGGGGGATTGCGTACAACAATACGTACACTTGCAACTATTTCTACAGCATCTTTACTTATTTCGGAGTAATTAAATGTCCGCGCTGGAACCAGACGGGTCGCATAAAGTACAAACTATTCATCTGTCGACGGAACTGTCGTGCGAATGATCTTTCGCTAATTGTCCGCTTCGACACCGAAATCGATGAAGTCTATTAAGCTGCATAACGCTTCATAGGGTAAAATTCTGAAATAACAATTCATGTCCTTTATCGCTACTTCTTTCACCATTATTTATCGCGCTTTCTTCGGGAAAAATACTAACGTTGCTTTTCCCTAAAAACTTACCTCATTACTGCGTGTATTGACTGCCAAAACGAAGGCACACTGTACTCTCGGTAATCCCGTCTTTGCGCTCTAATAATATGTGACACGGCTAATTGCAATGGAACCATTGGCATAAAATATGGAAATCTGTTGAAATATTTGTTATCGATAAGCAGCAACTTGCTATCGAATATTTAATTGTAGCTGAAATTCTCGGGATTTTTCAGAAAACACGATATGTTCCTTAAGATCGTTGTTATTCTAAACTTACTTTATTCTTGGCTTCTTACAGAATCCAGTATCTACTATGTACGGATAAATAGTAGTGAATTTGATCAATGATTTTCCTTTAGTAGATAATCGTAATTCTTCGCTAATTCCCTCCATAAGTCCTGCGGTTCAAAACCATTAAAATACCTTTACGATGATCTATACGTGAATAAATTTTTTTTGTCATCTACATATAGTAGATGCTTGCGTAAAATTCAACGTTACGTAATCGTCGAGGAATATGAGTTACCTCTGACTGCAAATTTACTGGCGCAATAGGGAACTACGTTTGGTAAGCTAAAGAGCCCTGCTACTGATGAGAGCGCGACGATGTGACCGTAATTATTTTCAATCATGCCCGGTAGGAATGCCTGCAGCATCTGAAAAGAATTTAATCCCGTTATAAATTCTTACGGTTCTTACGGTCAAGAAACAGGCCATTATATTATTATCGTGTATGTTACGAGAGAAATGACGATTATCTCGAGTAATATCTATTTATAATTTAGCTGTAGACATTATAAATCATAGTATGCTTATACATTTTTACGTGGTAAGCAGACTACAGCTTACCCAGAAGTGTGCTAGCACGTTGACGTCAAAAACGCGTTTAATTTCTTCGGTAGTGTGATCTAGAAAAACATGGCAAGGCATTATACCGGCATTATTAATTAAGATAGTGACATCACCGACTTCTCTCTTGATTTTCCCGGCTACTTCGAAAACCTCTTCTCTTTTCGACACGTCGCACCTGTACAGTGAGATAAAAGTATCATAAAGTAACTATTAGAACTTCTAATTATATATTTTATCTAATCTAATCAGCACGGCTAAGTCAATTGTGATATTATTTACAGATATGAAGAAATACGAACATACTTGTACGCATACGCTGCGTTTAACCCCATCATTTTAATTTTCTCTATCGTCTCTTCGTTTCGTTGTTCATTCAAACTCAAACATACCACTGTCGCACCTAGGGACGCATAACGAATTGCCAATTCCTTTCCGATACCATGACCTGTGCCTGTTATCTATAAATAAATACTGCCTGTGTGATATAATTACACAGAAAAAAATTTACTCGGATCGTGTAACTGATTCTTTGTTGTCCAGAGACCAGACGAAAATTTGCTTTTGGAAACAAAACAGTAGGAGATTTTAATTCAGTTGATCGTCCTTTATTGTCTTAATATAGTCGAACATTCAGACGGATGTTTTCGGTTGCGATAATAGAGATGTTGACCATTCTTGTGGTCAAACTTGTTTCTTTCTATTATACTATGTGATGATCTTTTTTTTTGCATGAATGCAGTAAACATGATATTCCCGTGTAAAAAATAGTATCGTATATTAAAAGACAGAATCGTATATTAGATACACACCAGGACAATTTCATCAAACACCTTTTTCTCTTCCGCTGACACAAAAAATTTATATACACTTCCACAAATATGACACAAAATTTTTAAGATAAGTAGCAAGATATCTGTCAAGACCAAAACGCCATTATAAGCTTTTACTATGATTGCCTGGCATTTGTTCCTTCGAGCCGGATCAGTTGTCCGATATTTCTTTCTAAAAAAAAAAAAATGAAGGAGAAATCTTGATTAAGAAATTTGCTGAGAAATAATATTTATAAACATATTTAAGTAAAAGTCATTTTGTGCTTATTTTTCAAGAATAAAACTTGTACCAAATAATGTCAACTTAGTGTCCTCTTTTACCTTACAGTCATTTTTCATTTCTTATTTCACGTCTTTGTCACACTAAATACGAACACATTAAATACGCGTTAAATGTCATAATCGCAATTTATATCCGTGCGCACTATTACAAAGCAATTATATACCGACTGCAGCAATATTAATAGGAGTTTTTGAAAGAACTGTGACAGAGAGTCTTCAACACTGTATGCATATTAATATATGAACAATTTCAATATATGTATATTCAATTATACGCATATTTATCGCACAAAATGAAGCATCGTCATTTATTAAACGGGGACGCGATAGCCTATGAGTAAATTACTTGTAGTATAGCAAAAGAAAGTATAATTGCAAAGTGCCTATTGCCATGTTATTTTCCACAGAATCACGAGTTAAATGGGTAACTGGTTGAACGATAATGCAAATATGCACTTTATACTTTAAAATATATGCAAAATATTTTCTTGCCTTTATTTTTGTCCTGGTGCAGATCCATACATAACGTCGCGGTATCACAATATTCGATGATTGTCAGAATATGACAGCTGTCAGAATCTTGCAGTGGATCGCGTATGAAAGAGTAAACACCGACAAAAGTATAAGATTGCTTTTATAAAAAACTTAGTGAAAATTTGTCATTTTTCTATTCCTTTAAGGTTCCTGGATACTTGTATCGTCCATCTCTTTTCAATAATAATAAAACGCATGCTAAAATTCTTGCTAAATATATCAAAATAAAAGGATACATCCGTAAAGTGACACGTGCAATCAATCGAGAAAATCTGTAAAATAGTTCAAACCAATATATGATACTTTCTCGACAATTTTTAGATACAACAAATATTTTTAGAGTTTTTGAGTTATCACATTTTACGTGAACCACTCGTTAGCGTAAATCGCAATTAAAGATATACAATTAAAGATATCTGAATGTATTATATAACGATTATTACCAAACGACCACTATATGTATCTTATACACTTAGCCTTATAATAATAAAAAAAAAAAAAAAAAAATATACATCATTATTTATACACTCAAGAATAATATATGAATAAGGATGCGTTTGAGGAACTGTAGAGTCCTTTTTATGTCCAATGTAGTAGTATCGGTGTGTTTTATCATCGCATCAATATTCGCTATACACAAATGTAAGAATACTCTACCAATATTTCGTTTGCAAAACGAGACAATTATCGCGATTAATTCACGCACTGTGCCGACCTTATCGAAAAATGGCGAGTCATTTGTACGACTCTTTTTGTACAAAGTTTTTATCTATAACGACATTACATACGTATAAAACACCTATATGTACGCGTTCATTCGTATATACCGGAGCAATTCGCGATTCTCGCATTACATTCGAAGCGTAGGGCGTTTGCTCATATTTCCACTTTTGTTACTTTCTATATATGTATGAAGAACAATTACAATTATGATATAATAATCATAAAACACAAGCGCACGATATAAGAATCGTGGCAGGCTCCAGTTTACATCGCTCGACGACTTATAAGTAACGCAATAATGTATTAAACGATCACATATAAACAGTTTTATTCACAAATCACGTGCTTCGGAGTTCGTCTCGATGTAATCGTACGGTTGTCTTGTACGGTTGTACTTGTTAACTAACTGCGTCGACACCGCTGTCGATAAAGTTCATCATGGTACTTCCCGCTTTGTCGGGGAAAGTCCTGAAACAAAAATATCTATACACTATGCCGTCGCTTTGACACATATTGAGAGAAAAAAAAGGTCGATCCAACTAAAATTATAGTTATTTTTGGCTCTAATCGTATTTTCTTATAGTAAAATAGTAGTAGTGCATATAAACACGTGTGCACATATAAGATTATTATTACTAACATTATAATATAATTTAATTTAAAAAAAAACTATTTTCTTGATCATAATTTATAGTAATTATCTCTCTATGCGATCATAGTTACAAATACCAAACATTTTTTCTCAATATATTAATTATTTCAACAGTTTCAGCAAACTGATGAAGACTAATTTCATTGAACAAATAAAAGTGTAACATCTTGAGAATAATAATTCTCAAACATTTTATTGTACATTCGACACGCGATAATCTTGTGAATTACCTAAGCAACGCTATTGATGACAGGAAAAACGCGGGTATTGTTATCTCTCGATAACCTCGCCTCTGTGCCTTAATTATTGCTGAGGCTGCTTGTTGCGGTAGAACCATCGGCAAGGCACTCGGGAACCTGTGTGAAAATCGAGATATTTATTATCAATAAGTAATAATAAGTTGTAAAAGATTTAGTAGACAAACGCACGAGGCAAAAGCGATTGGAAAAAAACCGACTCATTTAGCCACCGAACTGAGGAAAAATTCCAAACTTTCAAATAAAACGACGGCTGAATATTTTCATGTTCCTATATGTTCTATTGTAAAAATATTACGGTAGCTCACCTCGTATCCAAAAATCTAGTCTGCGTGTAAATATATAATTAGTCAGCAACGTAATTTAGCAATGTGTAATTATATTAGCAATATGTAATTATATTGTGGTGCACTTAGTATTCTGACATATAAACACATTGAAACAATGTTACGAATTAGTAATATTGCATAATATAATATATAATTGACCGTAGTCTCTGACCAAAGAATTATGTTTTAATTATATCGCGAAAAACAACGTATCGTAAGTTAGTCACTATAAACTTACTTTATTTTTGGTTTCTTGCACAGTCCGGTGTCCACCATGTACGGATAAATGGTAGTGAATTTTATCAATGATTTTCCCTTGGTAGATACTCGCAACTCTTCACTCATCGCTTCCATAAGTCCTGTAATTGTTTCAGTCAACGGATAAAACCGTTAGGAAGCCGTCGTAATTTTTTTATTTTTCTGTGAAATTTTTGATACGAGCAAATTTTTCTATCATTTGCTCTTACTATATAGATACGCTCGTGTAAAACACAGCGTTACAATTGTTCAATAGGATTACCTCTAACTGCAAACTTGCTGGCACAATACGGAACTAAATTTGGAATGCCACTAAGTCCCGCTAACGACGAAAGCGCGACGATGTGACCGTGGTTCTTTTCAATCATGCTCGGCAAAAATGCCTGCAGCATCTGAAAATGATGAAGAATCTTGTTGCAAATCTTTCATTTTTCATGATTTCAAAACAGTTTGTTGTATTTCATTGTATTTTAAGAAATGATGATTATTAAATTATTGCACGAAAAAAATATTTGGTTGAATTAATTCGATGAAATATGAACAAGTCAGAATTCGAGTCAAATTTATCCGGATTTTGTTAAAAATAACAAGATTCTAACCGAAGAACAAGAATTCCGATTAACTAGTAAACTTGTTAACTTGAACAAAATTCTGGTGACTTTAACTGAAATTTCGTTCATGTTCTACCAAACATTTGGTTCATCCAATCATATTTTCTTTTTTGTTTGTGTGGATCATTGTTAACCGTCTCTATTAACGATTTCGATGCAGCTTAATCTATATTTTTTCGTGTATTCATCAAACTTTTACATTACCATTTTAATTCACTTACCCAGAAGTGGGCTAGCACGTTGATATCGAAGATTCGCATGATTTCGTCGGTAGTATGATCGAGGAAGGCATGGCAAGGCATTATACCGGCATTGTTAACTAAGATAGTGACGTTACCGACTTCTTTCTGGACTCTCGCGGCTACTTCGAAGACCTCTTCTCTCTTCGACACGTCGCACCTGTACAACGAGATAAAAACTTCATTAGAATTCTATCGACATGTTTCTCGATCAATTGTAGCGTCATCTCCTCTGGACTCTTAATGTTAGAGAAAATGAAGGACACCGACATACTTGTACGCATACGCTGTGCTTAAGCCCATTTTTTTTATTTCGTTTATCGTCTCCTCGTTTCCTTGTTGATTCAAGTCCCAACATACCACTGTCGCGCCTAGGGAAGCATAACGAAGTGCCAACTCTTTCCCGATACCATGGCCTGTACCTGTTATCTATAAACCAAGAAAATTATTGTTGTATCGTGATCACTATGCGATCATAATATCTGCATTTCAGATTACTTTTTAACTGGAAGATTGATTTTCTCCCCCATTAATCTTTTTTAACTTTCGAATAGGGAACTTTTCAGGCTGAACTTAATAAAGATTGTAGGAAATAGAATCGATCTCAATAAGTGGAGGGAAAATAAGAAGGAGAAAACACGAAAAATTAATTGTTATGATAATAATATAATTAAAGTACGCAAATTACGTGATATTATCGTTTATATTCTATGTGATAATATAGTTAATATACTCGCAATACTCACCAGAACGATTTCCCCCGCCACACTTTTCTCTTCCGTTGGCACAAAGAATTTATACACGCTTTCGCAGATATAATACAGAATTTTCAAAATAAGTAATAATACATCTGCCAGGATTAACGCGCCATTATACGCTTTTATCATGGCTGCCTGATATTCAGACCTGAAAAATGAAAAAAAGATCTTTGCTTAGAGATAAACAAGTTAAATATAATTTCGTCTTTAGAAAGTAATAGTATATAAAAATTTTGATAACACATGCATAGATATAAAGTTTTAAGAACTATAAAATGATAATAGCAGTCATAAAGAGTTAATAGTAAAGAGTTAATAGCAAATTTTTCTTTTATGATATTTTACAACACAAACTACAGAACTTCCTATATATCCATAATTTTTATTAATTACTCAATATAAATCGTGTTTCAGTTTGTGACGCAGATAAAGATATATTTGTCATAATAATTATGATGACTTTCCTCAACTTGGTGCACTTATTCAAATATAATAGCTTAAACCTTCGCATATCTCTCGCACTTTTTCTTATTGATATAAAACTGATAATATATAATCGCATAAATATATGCTGTATTGAATACATGTTTTCGTATGTTTTGTCAAAATCTCGAAATGATCTTGTTCTCGATACGAGAACAAGTTTTCTTTCGTTATCACGCGTGTTCGTGATATATTAATTGAAAGATTATTAGGAATAATATGTCTCCTGACACTATGTATTTATATTTGTATTACACAATGCCGCTTCTAATGCACCATTGCATAATTTGTACCAATAACAAGTTGCGTGTCGTGCGTCACTCAGAGTTAATATCAATCAAATTTTACCTCATTAAATTGCATCATGGCCATTGTTGCATCACTTATTTTTATAATTGTATATTACTCATACGTATATATTACATAATCATGAAAAGGATATTGTTTCGTAATAGTTAATAATCGTGTTGTCACGATTGAACGTCATTACGTCGTTCACAGTTCATGCAATTTTGCGGGCGTGATAAGGTTTAGCCCGCTCGCCGGAACCATCCAGCGTAGGGTGCGTAAGCGCACGTAATTCTCTTTGGAATTGACGAGCAGAAAGTGATCGAGGCAATCATTCAAGAGTTCAACAATAACAGCGTTTTATTCGTTGTTGTGAGTCCAGTTTGAATTATAATAATTTTGCAATGCAGTTATTTCAGTTCTCAGTTATAATATATGACAGTACGAGCTAATTTAACATTTCAACGAAATTTTTATTCGAGTTTCAAAGCTTGATCTTAAGAAATGATTATTCATTGTGTGAACTAACATATAAATGACATTATGAGATGATTACACCGATTAGGCCGATAAACCTTAACTTTTGCTCTAATATTCAAATCTCATAGTCTGATAGTTTTTGTCATTCTAAAATCAAATTTGTTACCCAAATTGTTCTATCACGTCAAGGTTACGAAGTAAACCTGACATATAAAAAGGATTGGGAAAAATATGTACTATTTGTTATATTTATTGAGTGTAAAAAGTGATTTTGATATATATTTTTTATATTGAATTCTAATATGATGGCTATATGATGATTAAATCGGCCTTTTCGTTTCCAATTTATTGTAATCTAAAAGTGATAAAAAATGGTCTTTTTAGCACCTTTAGATTAAGATATTTTGGAAATCTGATGGAGCATTTTTAATAGCGCATTTGATTTCAGCACGTTAAAAATCTTCATTAAACAACAGTCTGGGAGTGAAAATTTATGTCGGTTTGTGTTATTAACTATTAATGATGTTGATTCTCTATGTTTCCGTAACGAATACGAGAGCTAGAATTATTAAATCATATGATACGTATCTTGGATCTTCTATTTTTCATACATAGTAATTTTGTTAATTATAATTATGCGTTGTTGCGGTTAGTAATGATCACATACAATATACAAATGCACGACACGAACACGGGACGATATAGTTATTAACGTGCAACATATGCGCGTATAGGTATACATAAATCGATGCAGATAAACATTAAGATTTCTGAGAATCATTTTCTGAGAACAGAATGATTGAGCAAAATCAATATAAAAAATCGACTTATATAATTTTTAGGATGCGAAGTATTGCAAATGTTTGAACTATATTCTACCGAAAAATGTTCTACACGATTTTGCGCAGTTAACTTCAAATATTTTTTTTGTATAAAAAGTATTATTATCGTTTGTCGTAGAATAATAAGCACTTATCGGCAACAGTAATTGTAACGACTGTTACAACACTTTGTATTGTAACAGAAAGATATTCTTCGCACAACTGTTACCGGCGTTGATTCTATATAGTCTACGTCAGATTTATGCATACCCCAATCTGACCGTGAAAGGAACAAGTTGGAGAACGCCATTTCTTTATGGTCGTTTTAGCAGCTTGAAACTATTACTTGTCTGGACCATAGAAAGACTGATGTAAGGTCGGTGCTCCATTTGTGGCCACTTCAAAAAATCTTTCGAATTATTTAGTCTATGATTCATGTTCGCGTTATGTAAATGGCAATATTTTGTTTTTACAGCACTTATATTGATCACGCTGCTCGCTAACGAATGTAGAATTTTCTCTTTTTTAACTAAATATTTATAACCGAAGGTAAATGAATTACTGCATTTTTTGTGCAAAACGTTAAGGATACGAGACGAGATAATTATAATTAACGAGATAGTTATAATTATTATATAAAAGACATGATTGTGAATAAATGTTTCTATAATCGGTTTACGGAAAGTCTAAAAGTAAAAATAAGTCGTAAAGTTAAAATAATTAAAGACATTAGATAACAAAGGGAATTTAATTAAAACGCGTTTATTTCGGCGAAAATCCTTAAAGTGGCCACAAATGGAGCGTCAACCCTATGCGACGCTGGAATAAAGCACGGAATGAAGACTCATATTCACGGTACACGTTTTCATTGCGGTTATATGCGCTTAACGAGGAAATGTACTTTTGCACTTGTGAATTTAAATTTTTGAAGTTTGTTATTAGTAATACAGTCACGTTATCAATCATTTAAGACAAAGCTCGGCACATTTCGATCGATTTTCGACTTGCTTCGTCTAGCTCTATTCTCTTCATCATCCCGTGCGCAACTTACTACCTGCTTGACACTCAGCAGCGTATAACTTGTAAATATATGTTTCTAAAAACTATTAGAAATTGCATTCACATATATCATTTAGCAGACACACTGTGCATAATTAGACGGATTTGATTGTTTGACTGCGGTTTGATTGTTTGCACTCTCGAATTATATTCTAAAACGTGAGCGATGAGTTACGATTTTTGAAAAGATTTCTTAAGATCGCGGATCAAAGATAGCAGTGTAATTAACAAGCTGGAAACTGTTGAGGTCAAAAAGAAGAAAGAGTCACAATATGAGCGTAGATGAAAATGAGCCTGCCTAATAATTTTACGTACTGAAAAAGATCCGCGCAGCGAAAGATAAAAATCACAACTGTTTTCGGCCGATTACTCACTTTAATCAGCGGTAAGCACAATTTTCCTCGCTTCTCCCGGAGCGCACCAACGCGAATTAATTTTGACGGGTTACCGGCTAGAACCGTCGTCGTTCGCGTACGGACCACGACTAAACCGTCTGGCTATAGGGTTTCCTGGCTACTACCAATGCGAAATCCTCACTACTACGTGCGCAACAGCTGGTTGGCCTCAGCAGCGACCGAGTACATCGTCCGTGGGTCGCTGTCGTGTCTGTCTATAAGACGACCGCGACTATTATCAGTGTGCAGTAGCAGCGACTATTAAAGCGAACCATCTCTAGCGGGTGGTCGTTTGGTCCGCTACTTCCGCTAGCGTGTAGGTAGAGTTCGAGGGAAATTATAGCCGTAGCACGGCATACGAGAAACCGAAATCATAGAGACAATATTTCAGAATATCTTCTCGTGTCTCGAATATCGGCTGAATCGCCAAGATCTTCGTAACAGAAGGTCCGATCCTTGTGAGCTTTATTTGAACGATGTCGGTCTTTTGATGTCTGAGAGACTTGAAGAAAGGAGAGATAGCAAGTTCATGCACAACACTCGATCTTTGTTCTATACTGGTTATTATTGTATTTGAGATGACTGTGAAGCATGATATGCGGTCCGCGAATTCACGCACATCGATTTGTAATCAGGATAAAACAACAATATTTATGGTACTCATATCAATGTAAAACAATTGAACCGTCTATATTCTAGGAACAACTTAGAATATCTAAGTTGTAGACACTTAAATCTGAATGACCTGATTATCCGATGTTATTGAAGAGGAAGAATAATAATGTTTTATTCATGCACAAATCATTAAGTCGAATCAGCGATAATAACACTCAGCGCATTGTTGCGATAATTATCACAAACAACAAATACCAAAGTTCATTTTGTAGAGTATCCACTGTACGATCGACTGTATGTGTGTTAAAGATAATTTCTAATAAGTAGCAGTTGAACTGATGATAATTGCATCGTCATTGCATCGTATTATTATGTGTGTTTTTATCTGGTAACTCTACAGCTTTGTACGCACACTTCACATGTGTACTCCACATGTGTACTCCAGTCGATTCTTAAAATACTTCTTTTGAACGAAATTTGCGATTCCCGTGAACATAGATACATGGACTTCGAATGTCCTATGTTCTGTCGTCTAATAGAGTGAAGCCAACATCTAGAAAGAGAGCTAGAATAAAGGGGCTATACTTTTCTTCCTATTTTGTCACTTTTTTGTTGCGCGTGCATCCATTTCTCGTTTCCATAATATTATAGAGTGCAACAGCACCCCAACTAGACTGGCAAGTAAAAGTCTTACTTAAATTTTATTACACATTTTGTTTGTGCAGAAAGAGACATGGAATACAGAGGGGCAGTACATATTGGCTTCACTTTTCTGGCCGTATGCGGGGTTCATATATACCATGGCGATTCTCAACGACTCTACTTGCCGACGAAGGCTTTCGGCTTATTTTATTTTCGATACACGCAGTCGACGACCGTCCCGCTGAGCAAGATTCGCTCGCATCGGCGCGCACTATAGCTGGCATACCGAATCAGCCTACCTAAAATAACAAGTTTGTAGAAGTCATGGGAACTCTTAGTACCGTAAACTTGAAGAGTACGTTAGTGCAAGAGATATATTTGCGGCTACACATGTGAATTTTGCTCGGTAGAATTTTCGATAATTGCAAGCAAAAAAATCGTCAACGAATGATCTGTGTGGATTCTGCTAAATAAAAATTAAGACCGGTCAGGCTTCTTTCTTGTATTCAGTCGCGCTATCTTGCCCTTTATATTTTTACTCAGAATTTTAATTTTTTGACAAAGACTAACTTTGAGTTAATTTCAGTTATAGTTCTGTTTTTTCTTAAAAACGATTCATTTAAAATCACTTTATTGTCTTGACTTATTTATAGCAATTTTATTACGATGCGTTATATAGCAGTTGAAGTGTGTGAACAACATGTTTCTCTCAGTCTCGAATCAAAAGTCTTGATAATAATAATCGTCGTCACGCTATTCATGAGCGCAAGCAATTTTATTTCAACATTTGCAGATAAATTCAAGCAAAAATAATTTCCAATACTTCACGTCGCTATACTATTGCAATATATTATCTTTATAGGTTTACGTAATGTATATTCATTAGGTCAAATAGTACTTCATCGAAGTCTCATGTCATGCCCTTGAACTATCACATTTTCTTAATATATATATATATATATATATATATATATATATATATATATATATATATATATATATATATA